AAGTGGTACTCGAGCAGCAACGAACAAAAATCCTATGTTAGCACTCAAATTTATAAACTTGTTTCAGAAAGCGCGATCAATCGTTGCCAGTGGTGCTTACGTGGGCTGACACCTACCGCATACTTTCGATATAGAACCATAACCTTTTCCTCTCCAATTTTTATTTAGTTTCAAGATGTTCATAATTCCAACAAAATCTTTTATCTTTAGAAACTTTTGAATTGCAAACCAATTCTATAGCTGATAGTTTTTGAAAGGTCACTGATGGTCTCCCAGCAGCACCTGAGAATAGAACACACCGATATCATGAAAATAGCCATTACATCACGCAGGGTCGGTAGAGCAGTGATTGTTGGATTAGATAATAGGTGTCCTGATGACAAGTACTCATTTTACCCGCGGTCACAGCTTCGCATGTGTGTAATTAAATTGTGTTAACTCATAAAACAAGCTGCCGTTGCAAATTTGTAGCCATAAATCCAACTGCTTCGTAGTATTCAGTGAGCTTCCAATGTAAATAAACCAAACAACTAAAGAAACCTCACCACCCAATCAACTGATCAAACTTGGGTACCTTTTTATTTTCATCTTTTATCAAGTATAAGAGCTTCAAATTCGTATCTTCCATAAGCCAGGTATAGCTTACTTCTGTGGTAATGCAAAAATTCATTTCCATTTGAACTGCGTAAAAGACGACACGATTTAGAACGGCAAAATGTACACGATTTTATTTCTCAGAAATAACCAGAAGCTTAATTCATTGCAAACTCGTCATGAATAATCAAGTATGTATCATTACTTTTGCGCCAGATCTGAGTGAATTTTCCTGTAATTACTCCAACCTTTTCCGTAGTGGTTTCGTAGTCTGCAGTAATGATGAGGTAATCTCCAGCCTTCAGATAAACCTCGTTGGAGAACTATAACAGCTGACCATTTATCAACATCTATAATTGGGGATGCCAATTATATTTGTTACCTTTGTGGTCGCTTTTCCAGTAAACTGATCAAAATTTTCAAACTCCCTCATAATGGCTAAAATTTGCAATGAATATTCTTGCAACTTATGTGAACTTCAAATTGTTACCTTCTTTGCCGTAACTTCCCTTTTTCCCAACTTGGACAAGGACAGCGTCTGGATGGTAAAACTCGACTGCCTAAGAAAATTTTATATTCAAATCTCAAAGAAACTTGATTTCAACGAAGTGACTCGTACTCAGGTAATCTACAAAAGACCTAGACGCGTCTCAGGTCGGGCCTTAGCAGAACAGTGTCTGCTTGCAAATCCAGAAAACGCACGCACAAACAGGATAATTATTGTAATGTTGTTTGCCAGGAGCGATTCCGTTTGAGGTTAAATGATTTAGGCCTCAGTAAGGAAGAAACTGCTTTGATCTGTGCACTATGTTGTAAATCAATGCATGAAAATTATCTGCAAAGG